CTGAAAATACATTTCCTCAAAGGTATTTTGAATCTGAAAAGAGCTTCACTGAGTGAGAAGTAGTGATGAGATTTAGTTTAGGTTAGTTTAGGTTTCACTTTCAGTTTCACCAGTTTGCTTTGTTGCTGCTGAGAGCATGCAGGAGTCATGGGTGTGGGGGTGGGGAGGGTGTGCTCGGCTTGAAGACACAGCCCAGAGGCGGAGATGGTTCCAAAAGGCGTTTCTAGTCCCAATCTGTCGTTTTTGCTCCCCTGCCTGGCTGCCTCAGGACACTACAGGATTTCTCAAACATGCAAGAATGAGTCAAAGTAAGACGTTGGGCATGTTTTTGATAAGAGGATAACATTATAACATGATATAAAACTAAAAAAAGTTGATTTTACATGATATTGCCCCTTTAAAGAAAGAAATCTGCTTTTGACTGCTGTTTTCCATTAACAGAGTCTGTTTTTGAGGGTTTTTTTACTATTTGCTATATTCCATTAAGAATAATACTCTTAAGGCATCAATTAATCAAAAAAAAAAACAAGCTACACATTGTTCAGAATTACATGTGGATACATGCTTTTGGTACACTGCATGTTATTCAGTCACTCCTTTTTAAATTATCTTTGGCGTTAGGAGGTACAAACACTTATTGGATGGTTATGGAGGTCAAATATAGGATTCCATATTTGGTCTTGGTTCTAGCTTCAGGGCAGTGGCTGCCAAGGGTTTGACATTTAAAAGTAATAGGTTAAAGCCCTGTGGTGTGTCTAAATTCATGTCTCAGCTTCTGTTTGTGCTGACTGGTTGGACATGCTTTATTCTATGCTGCACCAACGCTTGAACAAAATGTGTGCTGGTCATTTGGATGGAGATTTGCCATTTGATGTTAGTGCACATGGTTGATTTGAAAACTTTTTACTTGCTGGGGCTGTAATAGAAATCCATGTGTACTTCAGGGAAGTCAATCAGTCAAGTTACATCACTTCAACAAGCCATAGTGTTGTACAACAATAAAACATTACACGGTTCTTTCCACTGGCATTTTTCTTCATTAGTAAGCTCCCTCATTGTGTACAGATACCCACAGGAAATTCTGCAGTGCCTTGAGTTAGAAGCAAAGCAATGTAGCACCATAAAGTAAATGGTTCCCTGGTCTTTATGAAAAATGAACTCAATATCTCAGACAGTCACCCTAACATTTTGTTCCTTTTCAGTCATTTCACTCGGTACAACACACAGTTGTATATGGGACACGCACGCCCTCGCGCGCCTGGCTGAAGCCACCTCTAATCACGTCTTTAGACTAGTGACGTGGTACTAATGACTCTAAAGTGGTTTTGCACCCTAGCTCTGCATATCTTCCCAAGGTGATACCTTCTAGTTACAGCTCTATGTCTATAGAGCTTTCCAGCTTTCATCCCCAACTTTTGCATCTGAGGAGCAAAAGATGCTGCATCTTCTGTGCCCCGTACGTGCTCTACGCACTTACATCAGCCGCACACAGGATGTAAGGTCATGTGATCAGCTGTTTGTGGATGTTGCTAACCCACACAGAGGTAAAGCTCTTTCTAGACAAAGACTCTCTCACTGGATTGTAGAGGCCATCTTGCTAGCATACAGCAGCAAAAACCTTCCAATCCCTCTTGGAGTTAAAGCTCACTCCACCAGTGGTGTAGCGACATCTTGGGCCCTTTTTAAAGGGGTACCTGTGAGTGACATTTGTACCGCGGCCACCTGGGCCTCACCAAACACATTTGCACGATTTTAAAGCCTGGATGTAACAGCACCTTCGGTGGCTCATTCTGTWRTTTCWGRRGGGTCCAAAGCTCTGCATTAGTACAGTACTTACTCAGGCACACTACTTAACTCAGGTCTGATACTGCTCTGCGGGGCGCTTTGACAAGTCCCATATACAACGTTATATATATTGAATATAACCACGGTTCCTTGAAGGAATGGAACGAAGTACAACACGTTGTTGGCCCCGCATCACAAAGGCTCGGTGAAGGGCGGTATCTAACTGAGTAATGACGCTGGTGACTCCGAACTTATAGGGTGAAGGCGGAGCCTGTCACCCGACGTTCAACATCACCACGTCACCGGTCTAAAGACGTGATTAGAGGTGGCTTCAGCCAGGCGCGCGTGTCCCATATACAACTGTGTATTGTACTTCGTTCCATTCCTTCAAGGAACCATTGTTATATTCATAACCTTACATTTTTCAGTAAGAAGGAACAGGGTGTGTATGTAATGCTAAAGTAACAGCAGCCTTAGAAAAATGTGAAGCAATTCATTTTTAATTTTATATTTTGTTGACAAATATTTTTGTATTCATCTCAACTTGTAATTTTCAATAAATACAATAATGCAAGTGAGTTTTTTTTCCCCAAGTGAATTCACTGGCTATATTTACATACGCAAAATTCTTTGATCGGAGTGAAATTTATTTGGATGAAATAATCTGAATGTATAATTTATATGGGCGCAAAATTAATTAATTTGATCATGTGCGAGCATTTACATGCAGCAGGTTTTTATTCAGGACAGAAGTACTGATATACACAGAGTTGTTAACTTTCCCTAAAAACCCACAGAAGTCGTAGTTTTACTTCAGTGATGAACATGAACATTCTGTGTCTTCTGAGTGCCCAGAATAGACCCATGCCAGGTTTTATAATGGTGGAGACGTGACTGCACTCCATGTTTGATCATTTTGAGCTCTTTCTAACTTTGTAATAGAAATGTTGTATTGCTAACCAACCAATTTTGCTTCTCAGACATATTAGCATCTAGCCAGGTGGAAATCCATCAGGTTGACATAGTGACATGTGAAAGTCGGGTCAGTTTTCCACATCCAGAAAAACATGATCAGAAATAAGTGTTTACATACACACCGTTCAGATTATCAATCGACATAAACCACCTCTCTCATTTAGTTTACAAATTTATTTCAATTGAGCTGAATCAGATCAGATTATTCTGTTTACTTGTGTCCATGTTGATATAGCTACTGACTTGCTTTGTTTTTGTCACCCATTAAGTCAAAACTTATTACTACTAAGGTTTAATGTGGTGCTTCAAAACCTGCATTGAAATATCAGCTTTTTAAAAACAACTTACTGTTAATACTGTATTTAACTTACAAAAAAGTGTTCCTAATAAAAATATAAATTTTCAATATTTATTATGTTCCAATTAGATCACAACTACTTATCTGACGATATTTTCGTTTTGTTGTTGCTTTTATGTAGTTTGAGAGATCAGACAAGTGTCACTGTGGTTTGTTTAATTGTAGCTCTTTTTTTTCTGCAGGGTTCTGATCTGCACTCATTCCAACAGTGCGGCTGACCTGTACATTAAAGATTATCTTCATCCATATGTTGAAGCAGGCAATGAGCATGCCAAACCTCTCAGGTAAAGTAATGCACTTTTCTAAGGATCACTTTTTTTTTGACAGCCAAAGCATTTTAGAGATGGCCATTCCAAGCAAAATGCTGTTCAAACATTTTGGTCCACTTTAAGAATTTTTTTAGCAAAAACATCCCTTAAAAGCACAGTTTTTGTTATCAAATATTTTGGTGGTATTGGTAAAAAAAAAAAAGACCTTGAGTTGATATTGGAAAAGCCAGTTAGCATAACTTTTGAAATGTTCAATGTTTTTTTTGTTTTAATAATCTTGTGAGGTCAATTTTCTTAGTGTTTCAAGCTACCTTTTTTGTAGTAGAGAGGTTTGAGTATTTGTGTGCTAATCTTTATGAAACTTTATGAATATTTAGAGAACTTGTTGGGATCATTTGTTAGCTTCTGCCCATTTGGGTCATAACAAACCACAAAATAAAAATATGAACCATGGTTATACGGTGAAATATTATATCCAAAAGGAGCACATTTCATATCAATAATGCACAACAATGAGAAAGAGATGTTCTGCTTCTTAAAGATTTGTCACTTAATTGCAATGCTTTGAATCAGTAAAGGTACAGTGGGGAAAATAAGTATTTAGTCAGTCACCAATTGTGCAAGTTCTCCCACTTAAAAAGATGAGAG